GGGGGGGGACCAGGTTTGCTGGTCCGACAGAGCCTGGTGGAACCACTGAGACTATGGCTACTGGCTGCCCTTCAGGTCTGGAATTGAACCTACACCTGTGGCTTCCAGACAAACATAAGACAGGCGTATGAGTCGAACATTTACCTGAGGTAGATACACTCCTTGGAGAGAACAATCATGGGAGAAAGAAGGGCTGCTTATCACAGGGAGACAGCTCAGTGACAGGAGTGCATGGAGGGTGAACACAGGGAAGAGGTAACTATCGGGAGGAAGTAGGAGGGAAGCTATTGCATTGTGGTAAATTGTGGTCAATGTCATGAGACGAAGTGTATGTGAACTGCTCTTTGGAAGTGAATTTGCTCTGTAAATTTTCACCCAAATCACAATAAAAAAATAAAAAAGGGAAAAAGAATAAATAAATAAATAAAAAGACTCTTTAATGACCTGCAATATGCAGATGACACAACCTTGCTTGCCAAAAATGAAGAAGACTTGAAGCACTTACTGATGAAGATCAAAGACCACAGTCTTCAGTATGGATTACACTTCAATGAAAGCAAAAATCTTCACCACTGGACCAATCATGATAAACAGAGAAAATATTGAAGTTGTCAAGAATTTCATTTTACTTGTATCCACACTCAATGTTCATAGATGCAGCAGTCAAGAAATAAAACGACATATTGCACAAGGCCAGTCTGCTGCAAAAGACCTCTTTAAAGTGTTGAAAAGCAAATATGTCACTGTGAAGACCAAGGTATGCCTTCCACCCAAGGCATGGTATTTTCAATTGCATCATATGCATGTGAAAATTAGACAATGAGTGTAAGGAAGAGCGAAGAAGATGCCTTTGGATTAGGATATTGGCAAAAATACTGAATACATACCATGGACTGCCAGAAGAACTAACAAATCTGTCTTGGAAGAAGTACAGCCAGAATGTTCCTTAGCAGGGAGGATGACTGGGCTATATTATATGTACTTTGGACATGCTGTATCAGTAAGGACCAATCCCTGGAGTAGGGCACAATGCTTCATAAAGCAGAAGGACAGCGAAGGTCAGTGAAAAAGAGGAAGACCCTCAATGAGATAGGTTGACACAGTGGATGAAACAATGGATTCAAGCATAGGAAAAACTGTGAGGATGATGCGGGACTGGGTAGCATTTCAATCTGTTGTACACAGGGTCACTGTGAGATTACCAATTTGATGGCACTTAACAACATCATCTTCGTAAATCAAGTTGAAGTTACCCAGAAGTGTATTAGAAATACCTTTTCAGAATAAAATATCAAAATTTACTTTAGTCAACCTTTCTAGTACATATTTAGATTTAATTATCATGTAGCATTTCTTAATGCCCAGCATGAACCAATTTGCCTATGTTAAATCACAAAACCTTCACGTGTGCTCTATGAATAGGGCTGTTGCTGAAGTCATTAGAGAAGTCCTTGGTAGAAGGATAGCCAAGTCTTCATAAGCCCTTGCTGATTAAGTGTACACTACAAAACAGCCACCAAATATCCCCAAGTTTTTGTTGCTCATTTTAAGTTCTGAGACTTGATAACATTTACTGATTATAACACTAACTGCAAACTTAAAGGCAGAGACGATTTTGTATTTTTGAAGAACAGTGCTCTTTATGAACTCAATCTGGGAAAAATAATTATCTCTATACAGACCATGGATGATTATTAGAGACTAAGTTCCACTGAATACAGGATTAATGAAATGTGAATGTCTGCAATACTAATTCACTAAAAGTTTTTAGAGCAACTTCTAGTTTCTAGGTGTTAGGGATATATTAATGAACAAAATACAGAATCTAGCATAAATTTAAACCCTTTAGCTTCCTGTCAGAAAAACAGACTGTTCAGTATAATAATATTTGATTTATCCATCACATTTCAAGAGTAGCATTAATGTATGGAGAATAAAGTAAAAATTTATAATGTTCTTAAATAGTGAGTTACACATTCAATAGATGGATCCTACTGTTGCAAACAAATAATTTCACTGCATGTAAAATATTTGAATTTGAGTTATTCAGTAAAGAACTTTTTTAAGAGACTGAAATCAAAAGCACATGAAAGAGTTAAAATACCTTCAACTAATTACATTGCTGTCCATAAAAAAGTGGATCACTACTCAATGTTGGGAGCTCTGGTAGCATAGTGCCTAAGGCACTTGACTGCTAACCAGAAGGCTGGCGGTTGAAACCCGCCATAAAAAAGTGGATCACTACTCAATGTTGGGAGCTCTGGTAGCATAGTGCCTAAGGCATTTGACTACTAACCAGAAGGCTGGCGGTTGAAACCCGCCAGCCACTCCTCAGAAGGAAGACTGGGCAATCTACTTTCTTAGAGATACTTCCTTGGAAACCCAAGAAGGGCTTGCTATGAGTCAGATTCGACTCAAAGGCAGTGAGTTTGGTTTTGTTGTTGTTGTTGTTGTTTAATCTTTAAGCGAACAGATCACAGATGGCCAGGTTGCTTTCCCCCAGAGCCTTGGGGTGGATTCAAACGACCAACCTTTCAGTTATCAGCTGAGCACTTAACCATTGCACCACTAGGACTCCTAGCGGTTCCAGCACAGAGTAACTCATTCTCTCTGGGGAGCAAGGTCCAGGGAAGGTGCCACAAAGGAGGTAGAATTTAAGCTGTGCTGCAAGAAGAATGCGACTCTCCAGAGAACTCCTTCAGCCTCCCCCAGGACATCCACTGATGAGATCATCGACAGGAGCACTGCCTGGTGGGAAGCCAAGGAGCATCCAGGTGTGGGTCTCGGAGGGCCTCCTGGACGGAGGAGTCTGGAGCTGGGCTTTGAAGGCGGAGGAGCCTGGAGTGGCTGCCAGGAAAAGGGAGTGTGTCCAGGTTGGGATTCTGCCAGCAGCAAAGGCAATTAAGTGAAGCCAGCAGGGCTTGGAGCACAGGATGGTGATAAAGAGGGGGAGGTGAGGGAGAGCCAGTTACGCCTGAGTGGAGTGAAAGGCAAAAAGAAGCAAAAGGTATTGTGGAGGGAGCCAGGGGAAAGAGGGAAACGTTGGTGGCTGAGCTTTTGAGTTTAGTAAACCTAGGGTGTTTCTCAGTCTCTAACACTAACGTACGATGAGAAAGGAAATAATGGAGGACAGTCCCATCTTCGATCACAGCCTCAAACTCCGCCACCCCAATAAAGCAGGCTATTCAGTCCTCCCCGAAGAACATAGGCTGATACCGCCTTCCTCCCCAGCCTCATTCGAAGTCCGGGTCCTCCAGCCTCTACGACAGCGTTAGCTGGAACTTGGGGCAGAGACCACCTGGGTGGGGGAGGGGTGTCACTTGGACAGCAGTCTCAGGGGCACAAGAGGAAGGGGAAGAAGTACTGGGGGGGACGGGAGAGGAGGCGGGGTCCCGGGCCCTGGCTTAGCCTGCTACGTCTCCCAGCTGCGTCCCACATCTGGGGCTTCCGGAAACCTGACCTGAACACGCTACTACCACTCAGGCGTATCCATTCATCGCCAGGTTATGTGCAAAGGGGAGAGGAGGGGCACGCGACACACACACACACACACACACACTCCACACATTAAAGAGCCCCCAGGGCCCTGTACGGGAGGCCGGGGTCCTGGGTTCGGTAAGAGAGGTGGCTGCAAACGTGGATTCCCTTCTGTCCTTCGGAGAACCCTTCTCCCCTCGGAGTGCTGCGCTCAGACAACGTGAATGAACCCTGGGAGACGAGGAGAGAGCGCGCGCGAGCCGAAGAGGGAAGGGGAGGAGAGAGA